TCAAAGAATTTTATCAATTTTTCCTTAGAATATTATTAGTTAACGTTAAGCTTGCCATAAACTAGATTCATAAGACTTTCAATTTTTTCTGAGTGATATTGTCAATACCAGATTTGTTAGGTTGGTCAGTTGAAAGTGAGACTTATTGAAATTCTGTTAACCCAAACTAAGTTTGAATAATATTTTCATACTTGTCCGTGTTTATTGTAGTTACTTGCATCGACTTTGTAGATAAAAGTTTAATGCAATAGCTTGCACGGAGAATCATATTAAAGGTTTTATCGAATAAAACTTTATGTGTGGAGATTTGTTGGTTGATATTGATGCTAACTTAAATTTGCTATTTGAAGACTTACACATGAAAAATCTGTATAAGATACACTGCTTCTTGATACTTTTTCATTTGAAAGAAAATACGATGCCTGGAGTGACAGATTGCACTTTGTTTTTGTTCGACACACTTGGATTTTCTTTTTGATTGAAATTTATAGTAGAAAATATCAATCAGCTTATTTTCTTTTTATTTTGCACATATTCCTTGATATATCCTACAGCTACATTACTGATCTCTTCCATTTCATTCCATGTGTTTCAAGTGCAATTTAGAATACCGTAGAAAGTCACAAACCTGTGTAACTCGAATTGTGAAAATGAAAGTTGTTACAGATGTACATATAAAAATTATTGAATATGAGTTGCCATTAGTATTTATATTTTTACTGTCATCCTGGAAAGTCCTCGCTGAAAACTCAAGTTCTTAAATATTCCAGAAGTGAGCTATCGAATCTGTGAAACGTGCCCTTAATAGATCATATATAAAAAGATCAGAAGATGTTGATGTTAAAATTTTTTTATCTATGGTACTATTAAAAATATACTAGAAATTCAATAATTCAAAATTAAATTTCAAACTAAAAAACCGATGTTTTAAAATAATGATATAAATAAATGTTAAGTTTAAATAAAAACAAATATCTACCTCACAACCTCCATAATTGGAATTTAATTTTATTTCACTTTTTAATGCGAAGTCTCTTTAACTCGGAACTCGTCTAACTCGAACAAAATTGTCTGTCCCTTGAATTTCGAGTTAACGAGATTCAATTGCAGTTGATTATTAGGTTTTAAATAAGTTAAATTAAATAAACGTTAGAAAGGTTGATTTTCGTGATAGTATAATAATTTAAATAATAAACAAACTCTATCGTCTTCTATCATTTAAATAAATGTCATATTTCAGCTGTCGTCCAATATTCGATGTTAAATATTGTGTGTATGTGTGTGTGTAAAATTAGATAAAACTCTTTACGACAACAAATGGTTGTATTTTATATATTTAGTATTTGGATATACTGAACTATGTTGTTTTACGATTTAATTACCTTTATGTTATAGTTAAAGCTCATCTGGAACATCTATATAACAAATTCTTAAGTCTCTTCATCTGTAAAAACTTTATTTTTGTTCGTTTGTGTTATTTAATTAATCTTCTAAGAAAGCATTGTAGCTCTGAATATTTATTAATATCTTTCGCCTTTTTTTCATTAAAAGTATTAAGAGATTTCAGTTTTGAAAAAGTAGCCCATAATGTTCATAATTTTGGGTCTTGAAATTATATACTTGCATTTTATTTGAAACTTCATAAAAAAAATTAAAAAATGAACACATCTATAGCTAAGAATGCTCGATTATTGACTCGGCGCAACGTTTATCAAAACATCGATAACGCATACATTTGTTATTCTTATAAAAAACCAATCAATTATTAATCTGTTAGTAAAATGATATTTATAATTTTCAAAGGTTTTTTCTGTATATAATGTTTTATAAGCTTATGAACAAATAAGCTAGCGAAAACTCAGGAATAATTTCCACGTTTTACCGCTTATATAAGTTTATAGGTGAGTATCAATAATTGTAAATCATTTGTGATAGTAAGAAAATATAGGACGCACTATATTCTTCAAAATAAGACTACAAGCGGATTAATTAACAATATCTTTTCAATGAAAAAATATTTTTATTAGTAATTATCAATAAAGAAAAAATTTCACTCTTCGGAATGAAACTATCTTTTAGTTCAAAAGGTATAAAGTTTTAAATATTCAAATTGTTTGAAACAATTTACTTAATCGACGGATCGAATGTCACCCTTGAAATTCATATTCAGCGAGGGAATATGCATTAAAAAAATCTAGGTGGCGCCATGTAAATTAAAAATGCCACTATGATCCGAAAATGCTATTAGCATCCGAACTACATCGTATTTTGGTGCTTTTCGGTGTACGTATGTTGTTTCACATCGGCCACTCCTTTAATGATCAAACTCACTGAATATTTTAAGACCAAAATGAGCAGTAGCAGCAGCAGCAGCAGCTCAATATAAGAGAGTAAAAAAAGCGTTATATGATATTTTAACAAAATAAACTGTACGTCACATCAGGAACAAACAGCATCAACAACAAAAGGGAGGGGGCGGTGGACTTCTGCGCTACGCGTAACGGCGGTGGAACGAGGCGATCAAAACGCACGGCATGTGCGCAACGTATCAAACGTCTAACCCACTTCCTCGCAGGTGTGTCGCCTTCAACGTCATCATAGTGGTGGAGTTATTAACGAGTTTCGCTTTACGGGCGCGCACGAGAAATCGAGAGCTGTTTTGTGCCACAAGAGGAGATCGTTTTATGTGCGCGAGGTTGGGGGGGGGGGGGGGGGGGCTTTTTACGCTTCTCGGCTTTTATTGCGGCTTGCACTGGAAATCGATGCTGCGCGCGCAACTGTTTTTTGCGCTGCTGTCGGAAATTGGAGTACGCGTAAAAATTTCGCGCGCGCGCATTGAAAATCAATATGGAGAGAACACTCGATCGCGTGTAGGAGATTTTGCTCGATTTTTCTTTCTCTCGGTGTCGTCACTGTAGTATCTTCAGTAGTGCGGGTTCCATTTCAAATATTCCTCTCCACAGGGCGTGAGACGTCGGCACCTGTATTTACATTATGGCAAGCGAAAAACCTGGAATTTCATGGATGACCAAGGGAGCTAATAGGATTATCCATGTCGGACCGTGAAAAGTTAAGAGGTATAACAAAAAGCACGCAGGTATAAGTGACGCAGGTCGAAAAGACCTCTGAGGCCCATTTTTTGAGGGTCAAACGAACTGACGGCAGACAACACGATCTGATGTTTGCGAAATATTAACGAGCGGGCTACACGACGGAAATTGGAGAAGGTCGTGTGACCGTTTCGCTTCTATCTTCTTTTTCTTAACTGAAAATCGAGGAGGTTCAATAATGTAGGACGTTTTTATGTGATGCATCCTGTGATTTGATTTGTGTTCGGCTGGATTAGGTGTTGGTTTCGATTTTATAATGAGAAGTGCGGGCAAAAAATGGAGAAATTCCAACGACGGAAACTTATTCAAATTTCACACCTTTTTTTCGCAAGGCAAGGGGTCGTAGAGTATAAAAATACATAATTCTTGGAAGCGAGAAATAAAAGATTCGTTCCACTAGGATACATTTTTATATCGAAATTCAGTTGCTCGCACGGACCGTATAAAGTTTCAAATTTACCGATCATCTCCGGATATCCCACGGGATATCCACAATATCCCGAAATTGACAAACCGTATCTCCACGCAGCGGCAAAATACATTTATTCACTTTATTATCCGCGGCGCACACGATGTGGCCATGCAATAAGCTCGCGTTGTCGCCAAAATATCTGTATTTACGAAAAATTCCCCCGTATTTGCGGAATATCCGCGCGCCTTTCTCCACCAAAATTTGCTTTTTCGTCTTTGATAAAACAACATTTGGTTGAACTTTTGTCGATTTACGGCTTCTCTTTGAAAAAAGTCAGTATATGGCTGTATTTGCACGCGCATGTTTCAACGTGTACCTGTGTATATAGAAAGCGTTTTACTTTTTCCAAGGGAAATTGCCACGCGAGACAGAAGTAGGCAGAAAGAGTTGAACGAAAACAACAACTGCGATACCCGGGAGAGTCGTAAAACCACATGGCACCCGGCAGATTGCATCCTCTGCTCTCTTGTCCTGCTGCTGTTGCGAGTACTTTATTCAAATTGAATTTCCTAGCGTTGTCGTACACACTCCAAACAAATCATGCGAACCGATAATGCGCGATAATACTCGCGATTCCTTTCTTTTTTTTCTTTTATCGACGACTGATTAATCGATGAACGCATAAAGCGCTCGTCTACATGTCGATTTATTGAGAACACGAAATTACTTCACAATTGTTATATATGCGTTATCTTTGAAGAGTTGCAACGACGATTGGCGCACACAAAAAATATAATATATGTATGTCTGATTTGACGTAGAGGCTCTTTAGCGCATCAAGAAAAATAGTTTAGATGGAATATTACGTTATCATCTCTCTCAAAACCTAACAGGGCAAGTGTAAACTTTTTTCCTAACGGTGGCACATTGCACGTAAGATTTTAATCTAACGATATGCACGTGCACAAGTGGCTCCTCGTGACAAGCGCTCCATGCATGCGATTCTCTTCTCCAGCGTCGCGTCTCCGACGTTTTTTTTTTCTTTCATTCCGAGTACTTCAACTGCACATATGTACTCGTTCCGTTTCGAAATGCCAACCAGGAAAGAGGGAGAGCGAGAGATCATTAATCAACGTGCACATTCGTGTGTACACTAGTAATTATGCGATTAAACGACGTCGACGAAAGCGTGTGAAATCAGAGTGACGCTTGTTTTCCGTAACAAATGTTATTTAGGAATAATTCTATTAGATACACGTGAGCTCGCGTTCCTATTACATACACTAATAAGGCCAATTTGCAATATTCTTTCGTACTCGTAACAAACGATTCGCGTGTTTTTACAAGATCAACAAAACCGCATTAGGCGTAACAAGAAACGAAGAAAAAAATAATGAAAGGAAAACAAAAATTACACGATGCCGTCGATAATAAGTAGTTTGAAAGAAGGAGAGAGAGAAAAATGGAATATACGTTACCGGATGCCGTGCGGCAGCAACGGCGGCCACAGCTGCTGCGTTTGGATACATGCTGCTGCTGGTATTGTTGCTCTTGGGCTTCGGAGAGGACGATGAGCTGTCACCCCCGCTAGCCTCGGGCAGGTCGCTCCTCGTGAGCGCCGGAATATTGGCTGCTGCTGAGCCGAGCAGCTTTTTTTTCCACAGCTTTGAACCCACTTGGCGGAATATCTACTCGCACGTCATCCCACGTGCGAGTAGTATATCCTTAATGATTTTTGTTACACTGAACAAAACAACAACACTCTGGCACACAGATATGTCGCACCTTTTACACACTTACTACAACTGCACTAAATCTCAGCACTGTAAACTTAGCATGCGTGTGTATATATATTAAACAACAACAGAGAAATGGAGAGAAAAACACACAATGTGACTATCTCAACGCTTCAACGTCAACTGCCGCCGCCACCGCCGCCAGCGCGCGTCGCTTGGCTGCTCATGGCGGGGACGACGCGCCAACGCTCCCCACCACTAGCCACGTGGTCTCTCTCCATCCACACCTGGCTTCTTCTTCATCATCTTGCGTGCGCGCGTGTGTGTGTGTATATATATATATATATATATATATATAGTAACACTTAGGTGGGCTACGCGCTGCTGCCTCTGCACCGCTGAGCTTTTCAGCTATAAGGTATTAATTGCCACCAGATTTTCCGGAGCGGCTGTGAATACTCACGGGGGCATTTGCTACGGCTGTCGGCATACCTACGCTGGGGCCTGCTGCTGCTGGTGCCGCTGCTGTGCCGACAAACGTCGTAAAACTTTTCCGCACAATTGTGTGCGACGGCGACTTGACTCGACTACTGCACCGCTGGCCTGCCAAGCTACAGCGACATTAGTTTTATGGATACACGCGCTTATGAAGCTGTTCAATTTATTGCTTAGCGCGCCTTCGTTCAGCTTCGGCATTGCCGCACATACTGAAATCTTGCGCGACAGTTGCAATTTTTATGATTTTAAGGGGATATTTGACAATGCTTTGCACGTCCATCGCATTCATTTTTATGACTAGCTTGGCGTCGAAATGTGAAAATTATAATTCCTCTTTTTGTTTTATCTTTTGAAATGGTAGACAGTGTTTGAATTGCTTCGAAATTATTGGTTGAGACCGTAAAGCTAGTTTTACGTTTGCACTTTCGTAAAAGCTAATTTACTTCTGATACTTTATGGTTGCTCCGAAATCATTATGTGCAGATTTCTCGAGGTAATAAACTGCAGGCAGCGTTTTAAAATAATTTTAATAAACTCGTAAAACGTTCAGTTAGGAATAAAAATATGTATATAAACTGCCGGTACATAAGGATAAATGAGATATTTAAATGTTAAAATTAATCGAGTGTACAATCCAAGTTTTATCTGAAACAATAGTCGACATCACAATTTGAGCTGACAAATTATTAACTTTGAACAAACGTTAACGTTCACTATTTGTCTCTCTTGCAATTTTTTGCCAATTTCTCCGTCCAATACGTTTCATAAAAAGATACCAACGTACACAGAGAGCTGTGGTGCGTATATTCGACGACAGCTGAATTACACAAGCGCTCGCGCACACGCGGTTGAGCCCAAGTTTTAATAACATTTTCGTTGTTGGGCCAAAAGCTGTGCGGCCCGAAAATTTCTTGATAAACTTCAGAATTTAATTACGTGCCCGCTATATACCAGCAATTTGCATAAGCAAACTGACGCACCTCTCTCCCTCGCGTGCGAAACCCAAGTGCAACAAAAAAATCTCTCTAGCACAGCAGTATGTTATTGTGCGCGCGCGTGTTTTCCTCTCTCGCATTTTTTTTTTATGTCCAAGAAAAACCACGATCATTCATGCAAACGACTCTGTAGCACAGCGTACAAAGAGAGCAGTCTGGAATAATTTAACTCTCTCTCTCGCAAAGGCTGCATTTTTTTCTTCTTTATTGGGCGCGCATAAACCCCATTGTTTTGCGTATTATGCGTCGTCCGGAAGCTACCTTCAGAAAATTAAAGGCCTCGTAGACTCTCTTTCTCTCCTACCTTTTATTTTGGTTTTATCTCAAACCAGCACCTTTTTCGCTCTTGTGGGCTTCTTGTTGTTTTCTTTTCTTTCTTTTTTTTTTGGTTTTTTTTTTTATACTCGACGCGGGCGCAGACGTTACGCTTGAAAAGGGAAAGAAAGAGGAGCGCTGCTATATACTGCTTTTCGTTTATCGCTTCCCTGTCGCCAGAGACCTTCTCTCTCTCTCTCTCTCTCTCTCTCTCTCTCTCTCTCTCTCTCTCTCTCTCTCTCTCCCTCTCTCTCTCTCTCTCTCTCTCTCTCGCTTTCTCACTACTGTGTTTTCCAGCGTGGGTATTTTTCTTTATTCTGTCGTGCTTTAGTACCCTTCTTTTTTCATTAACTTTAATGAGCAGCTTGTATATGCGCAGCGATGTGCTTGTAGACAAATATCAGATTTCTTTCGCGCTTCTTTATACTTTCTAGCGGATGTTTTTTCTTCATTATTTAATGCAAAATTAAATGTCGTAAAATTATGCAATTGTTTTATCGTTCGATCGAGTTACATTTGTTTTACAAACAATTGCATTTTCCAGGTAAAGAACTACCAATTATTCCAGAAAAGTATTTTTAATGCATGTAATTTATTACATACTTTTTGTGTAATTAATTCCATAATGAATGCTCGTATTAATAATACTCGTAATTTTTTAGAACATTTTTGAAAGGTTGTAACAAGAAAAAAGAATACTGTTAAGTAATTATTATCGATTAATCTGTCTTTACCAGATCTAATGACTTAGACTGATTGATTTATTTTTAGACATTCTTGTCAGCGACCGATGACGTTTATGGCTAAACGAATCTCCGGAAAAAACCGTTAATTATCTGTTAACAGAATTTCAAGATTTGTTTTTCTTAGTAGTTTACTTTTAGAAGAAGCAATTTCTCACTCTCAATCACTTGGTCACATATCCGCCCTCACATTTCTTAACTTTTCTTGTAGGATAAATGCCACCATAAGTTCTCACATGCGCGGTACGTCAAAATAAGAAAAAAAACAGAGAGCGAGCGAAACTCACAAGTATATATACGTCTATATATTTGTGTATACCTCAGAAGCAAAAGAAGCTTTCTTTTCACTCGGCTCTTTATTCGTATCAGTACGTTTTATATACATACACAAGACTCGTCGTCGTCTTGCAATAAAAGTCAGCGTGCGTCGACACAGACACACACATAGACGCAGTCAGAGCTTCCGCGACGACGACGTTTTTCTTCGCCTCTCTGCGCTCGCACATACATACGTATAGCTTCTCACTTTTTTGTACTAAAGCTCATCTTTTCCCAACTCACTCTTTCTCTTCCTTTGCGTGTATGCGTATTTGTCACTTTTCCCTTGCAGCGGCAAAGCGCTGCCACGCCTCCGACGTTTTCTCTCCCGCTGTGATTTTTCTCTTCAGTTGCGCTTTTTCCTTCTTCGACCCTTTCACTGGCTTGCGCCTTTTATTTATAAACAGATTATCGAACACTGTCTACATATGTTTACCTACGTTATCAATACAATATTAAATTGGTTGACAATTGCTTTTAATTCGCTGGATCTTAATGGTAAGTTTTGCGATTCGAATATTTATGTGGCCGGCGTTTGAGTTCATCGCCAAGAAGACAATGCATCATTCAACCATTAAACTCGTTACCTATCAAATGAATCATCAAAAATACCGTTTGATTGCGATTTCGCGAGGTTGCTGTGTAAAATACTGCTCAGAGACAAATATTTGGCACCTATAGCTCGCGATAATACCCACGATTAATTTATTTGTCAATTGGGAAAATCAATACAGAGTATTGATGTTGGTAACTATAGTAAGAGAATCAATGAACGCTGGCGCGATGAGTACTTTTCAATTTGACAGAATCAAACATTGTCGATGGTCTGAAAAAGAAATAAGAAATTGATGAAACCTAATAATATCGCATGAAACGAGAACAGCGAGCGAGAGAGCACAGACTTGCCACTTAACCACACCGAAAGCTCTCCACTCATGCATCACCTCTTTCGCTGAATGACGAGTAGAATCTTCTTCGCGGCTGCCTCGCGTGCTTATCTCTCTCTCTCTCTCTCCTTTCAGGCCTCTCGCTCTCTTTCCCCTCGCACTTACGAATTTACGTCCTTCAGTCGAGCTGCTGTAGGGGGAAGCCAAGCCGTCTTTCCGCTCTGCACTCTCTTGACGGGCGCTCATCCCTATCGTGACTACTACTCGGCTGCTTTCTTTTTTTTCTCTCCATTCGTCGCGGCGCGCCTCGAGTGGATTGCCGCTGCCGTGTATGCGTTGTGTGCGAGCTTTTCTCTCTCTCTCTCTCTCTCTCTCTCGCTCTCCCTCTCTCTCTCTCTCTCTCTCTCCACAGATATATACACTTTTATTAGCGATGTGGCGATGACGGCTACGTGGAGTGTTACGTTCGATAGCTTCGTTTTTTATTGCACTCCGGTGAGAGGATTTGCTTGATTTATTGCGCTCGATTTGATCGCATCGATCGAATCGACCGCCTGCGCCGGCGATGCTCATATTTGGATCGAATTTGCACGTCGTCACCATACCCTCCATCGTGAATTTCACCGCGAGCCCGTGCTCAGTCGAGACATTCACGAGGAAACAACATCGTCGTCTGGGTGGAAATCTGCCTTCCGCACAGATATACAGCGTCGTATCAGCGTTGAACGATCGATCGCCTGCGCGCCAGTGATATCTGAAGGAGAAAAAGCCGGTGTAATCGACAAAAGCCATCTCTCGTATACGCATCGCTAAGGGGAATTTCACGCTCTCGTCGCGACGAGATAAAAATCTCTCCTCAATCCGTATCTAAGTATTTTCGCCTTAGTCATCCTTAAAATTTCATCTTCTCTCTCTCTCTCTCTCTCTGTCGCTGCGCGCGTTTCTCCCCCTATATTATTAGAAATTAATACGCGCTCCTCTCTCCCCTCGGCTATTCAATCCTTCAAGCCGCGTAACAAACACACGCACTGACGCAGACACACATATCTGGTCGTCTCCCCCCAGTGACTTTGCTCGCTGGCGCTCGTTATCCAAGGCACTTTCGCTACCCCTGTATAGTTGGCAAGCAAGCATTTTTGCTGGTGGTGCGCGCGCTCGGCTCGAGCTCGCGAGATTAAGTGTCGCGCCGAGGAAAGGGCAAAGTGATAATAACCGCTTGGGGTGGGATGGGGGGGGGGGGACTCGAGTCGCCTAGATATTCGCGCTGAGTGTGCTGCAACCTCCCTTATACACGGGGACGCCAGAGACCGACTGAGCTCTCTCTATTTTACACGAGTCTCCAGGCATCCGTTCGGTTATTGCTACGAGCGTGACGCTGTATTTCCTTGCCGCACCAGAGCTGCGGATT